GGGGGGGGGGAAGTGGTTTGGGGAGGGAGCCATGCCACTGACCTGAGGGTTCCATCTTGCAACAGCATTCAGTCGATGACAACCGCACCTCAATCTTGGCCCACCACAACTCACGGCGGCAGCTGGCCAACCTTAGGTGAGAGGGAGACAGGGATGGTGTGTGTACGTGTGTGTGTGTTGTCATGTTTGCTATACAACCCCATTAAAATAGCAAGACTGTGGCAGACTGTCTCGTCGGGCTTTCACCGGCTCATCAGGAAGTCTGCCCAGAGTGAAAGAGAGAAGCAGCGAGCGAGAGAGACAGTTGGGGGTTGCGCACCAAGGTCCACAACCGCAAGCAGGGCATACACAACACGGCCCGATTAGTACCCAGCACGTACTACGGCAAACAACATGAACACGTCGGCCAAAGCTCAAGAAAATATGGCACGATGCGATTGGAACTGACAAAGGCGAAGTGAGGTACCCAAAGCGAGGTACCCAAAGTTGCCTGCGAACTGGGACGTCGGGCCATTCGCCCCGAGGTACTGGGCCAACGGCCTGGATCCACGCGCACAACACTTGACTCCGATAATAATCCACGGGACTCCACGGCGCGTCTATCTGCAAAAGGCACTCGGCGGCGTGTCTATCTGAGCCGTCGGTAAGGACCGACGGCCTGGATCTCGGCGCGGTCCTAAGATCTTAAGACCACATCTATCCAGGCTGTCAGTCTGGTGGGACCCGACGGCCCAGATGGCAGATTTGTTACATAGTTAGGTCAATCTGGGTCGTGGGCCGGTAGGACCGACGACGGCCCGGATTTCAGATTTGTCATGTTAGCAATTTTAATAGCGTAGGGATGCTCCGCTAGGACCGCTACTACAAAAAGGAGGGTGCATGAGACAATGCTCCCAACAGGATATATCTCACTGCAATTGGCGCCAATCCTGGAAGTACGTCGACTCGATTACGTCCAAAGACGAGTTGAAAAAGTCCTAGTGTGAATACGCCATTATCCTTGGGTTCACAACAAATCTTGCCAGTTACTCAAAAAGCTCACGGCTCCCACACACATAGGCACATTCCCTACATACATTTCGCACACCTGAGAGCTTGACAGCGGCAGAACAATTTTCATCGCAGGAAGACTCTACCCACATATAGAAAGGAGGAGGACATCAGAAATTTGAAGTGATCATCAAACCTTCAACAGCAGTATTTCCCTAGCACAAAAGGGCAAACACAGCAAGCACATCCAAAGAAGGGCAAAAGTGCAATATGGTGGTGCATGCACTGAATAAGGGTGATATCCATATTAAGCTCTTTGTTCAACCACAGACGCCTGGTTTGGCAAAAGTCTAAAGCTCACAAAAGAGCAGTGGAGGGCAAATAAGACCATGGGGAGGAAGTTTGAACCCCATGGCATCATACTATCATCGTAGCACACATATCATACACACCCATCATCATGAGCGCACGACCAACACCCATCAACAACCGAATCAAACAAAAACATGGTTGAGAATACAAAAGCACCCATGTCCGGCAGAGTGAAAAGCTCCGGCATCCAACGAAAGAGAATTGGGATCCGTAATGATGCTGCACCAATGCCAACATACCATGACCAATACGAACGATGCGGTTGAACGAGAGCTTGAGCACTTGCAGCCTCGTCAGGTCCCGGAGACTGCCCTCAGCACAAAACCAGCCAAACGCAATATTGAAACCATAAGGATGTAGACCACAAACAAGCAGCTACAATCACTCCACTCGACAGTTACATCCACCAACCATATCACAATCTATCCTTTCAAGCGGCAAAAAAAGGCCCCACTCTCAAGCACATTTGCCAGAGCACAGAAGGATCACCACAGGACACAAGGTTACCTGTTGCACCTTTGCCCGCAAAAAAATGAAGGGAAAAGGGTGCAAATGAGGGTGGATAGGGGTTTGTTGGTAGGGTGTGGGTTTGGGTGGGGTCGGGGTGGTTTTTACGCTCACCCGTGCATCGTTGTTGACACTGTCGATGGAATGCTGCCTCTGCTTTGTAAGCCTTGGATATATATTTTTCTTTCTTTTTTTTTGTTTTTTGCTTTTTTGTCCTGTCAAACATGTGATCACAGTTTGCAATCCTTCCAGTTGTGGTTTGCTGGGTTGGTGATTGTCCAGATTTGAACTCACCTGTTGTGTGTGTGTCACCCTTTGCATACCTGTCTCCCGCTAACCAAATATATTCTTTCTCAGATGTCGGGAGATCCACAATTCTGCTATCGTGTGGGGGGGAGGGCGCGGACCAAGCAGTTAGTTAGATTGGCCTCTCTCTCTCTCTCTCTCACGCACGCATGCTTTTTTTTTAAGGTCTCAATGGACCACGGATCAGTTATGAAACTGATCGGAGAAGATACTACACTGGATAGTGCGTGGGGGGGGGGG